TTTTTCCTTAATAATTGTGTCTCAACTGTGTGGGCCAGATGATCAAATGGGAAATAGAAAGAGAAAGTAAAAGAATTAGAGAAAATGAAAAAGTGAATTAAATTCAAGATGAAATTAATAGATATAAGATAAGTTGGTTAAAAGATTAAGAAATTAAATAGGAAAAAAGAAAAAGTAGTAAAAAATAAAAATGTTTTAACAAACAAAATAGTACAAATAACGGGAGTTGGAGAAATAATTCTATCAATTACGATGAAAATAAAGATAGCAGTTTGAAACAGGACCTTTTGTTATCTGAAAAAGTCAAAAATGAAAAGGAATAATCTTTAAGTAAAATATTAAAAACAATCAATAATTCTAAATAGAAATAGTTGAAATGAGGCATAATCTATTATTTTAATATTTTATTTCATTTTTCCTTTTTAACAATATTAAATAATTCTGTTTTTCTTATATTATTAATTACTTCCTATGTAATTTAATCTAAGCTAATATTTGAGATCAAATATTTTAAATACGCACAGATAAAAATACCAGAATCGTTTGGTTAAGCTAATTAAGGACATTCAGATATAATAATATCTTTTGACTTCCAAGAGATTGTCAAATTATATTGTTTGACGATTGGTTCAATCATATTCCATATATGCTTGCAAGTTGTAACATAAAATATTGCCTTTTTTTTAGAACAACTATCATAAACCTTCATTTTTATATCCTAACCTTCAAAAAGTAATTCTAGTAGAATCCAATGGCCATTTGAATTGACAATAACAAAGATTTGTTAATAAACTTACCAAAATTATCCTTTAAAATAAGAAAATTCAGCAAAATAATTAAGTATATCTATTTTTTGTTATTCAAATAAGAAATAAGGAATAATGAGAGTTCTTTTATATGCTTATATTTCAGCTAGTGACTTTAGATTAAAGAACTTTTCTGAATCAATATAATTTATGTAGTTAAGATACGCTTCTATGATTGAATCATTTATGGCCTTTTCTGACAAAAGAGAAGAAAGATGATCTTTACTTAATTCAACATCGAACTTGGTCCATTTGTCATTCTATTTAACTTACGGCTTTTATTATTAGGGTTAAGGTGGTGTTTATTTTACTCCTGATTTGATTCTAAATGTTTTATTGGTACTTCGATCTTCTTGAATAAAGGATTATTGCAACATTGATTATTGCAAATTTTGTTATTTAATCAGTATGCTCCCATCCTAATTATATTCTTAGAATTTTTCAATCAAGGAAAGCTTTTGGAAAACCCCATCTACTTTTTTATTATTTGTTTTTCCATAGTATTCTGTTCCCCTACCATCGATTTAATCATTTTAAAATTAACCCTCATAAACAAAATAATTGTTATTGCAATAGGCATCATATTGCTTTATATAGATTTTACCATTTCCATGCATTTTATTATTTTGAATTTCTCCAATATAAACATAATCTTTTTGGATTATCATTTATTCCTTAGTATTCTTTTTTTAGACAATTAACTTAAATTATTTTGAATCCTGATTATCAAACTATTATTATGAATTATTATTGAAGAAGATGAATTCAAATTTGAATTCTTAAGTTGGCTATTCTTATTGTTATTCTTAAGGAGGCTTTGATTCTTTTTTCAGTTTCAAACCAAGACGCATAAAAATAGATATAAATATTATTAAAATATTAATTCTCTGAAATACTTCCCAATTGATTTTATTTTTCATATATTATTTTAAATAAAATGTTCCGAGTATTCCTAATGTCTCTCTCATTCTTTTGAGGATCATGATATTCCGAAAAATCCTCTATTTTTTAATTAAATTATTGAATTATCACTTCCCTCAAAATGTCATTCTAATTTTGCAATTCTTCTTTAAATAATAATTTTAGCTTGAAGCTTTTACATAAACACTTAGATGGCTTAAAAGTTTTTACTTCAGCTACAGAATGTAATTAAGTATTTATTAATTATTTTTTAATTAATTGTTTAAAATAAAAAAAAGCCGCCCTCCAAGGGGGTCGAACCCTTGACATTTGGCTTAAAAGGCCAACGCTCTGACCAACTGAGCTAGGAGGGCTGGATTAATTATTTAATTGATTAAGATTATTAATATTTCTTGATTTGTAATTTGATTCCAATTAAAATTTAAAATAGTTGAATAAATAAAATACTACAAATTTATTAATGAAAAGACTTTATAATTTAAAAATAATAATATCTATAATTTATAAGCATTTATCAAATGGGATCAAAATATTTATAAAAATATCCAGTGTCTGAAGGTTTCCACTAAATTTTACATGATTTTGCCAGAGAAGTAAGTAGTATTTTAGATTAAAGGTATTAAGAGATTAACCAGAAAATATTATAAAATATGGAGTTGATTATTTTGAATGCATGGTTTAAGAAAAGGAATTTAAATTTGAAAGCAAATACAACATTGCTAAAGGAAGCAACAGGCGAAGTGCAGTAGGTAATTAAATTAATAGAATAACATAAACAGTATGTAAGAAAAATAAAATAATTTATTAACCAGGAGTATACACAAATCCACCTAACCTTCAAATGTGACTGGAATAGCAAAAAATATATAGTAGAAAAAGACCTGAATATAAAAATGGGTAAAAACTAGGATCTGGAAACGGAAACAATGTTCTTATATCAGTACTTTAGGAAGTTAGCCAAAAGAGAAAATAGCAGCATAAGAAAATGTCAATGATTTTTTATGTAAGATTGCAAACGATATTGACAAATTTGAAAATAAAAATTAGATGATGAGAATCTGAATGATATTGAGGAGGAATCACCAAAGTTAACCAGCTTTGTAATTAAATAATATTAATATATTTAGGATGTTAAAGACATGCTAAATATTATTAAAATTTAAGCAGTATCTATCTGAAAAATAGTTTGTAGAAAAGGAATAAGAAAAATAGTAAAAAAATTAGAAGTAATTTTGTTAAGAGAAGGAAGAATGATGAAATTTAAATAAAATCATAATAAATAATTAAATAGATTTTTTATTATATAAGTTTTGTTATTAAAATTAATAGATGAAAATTTGTAAAATAGTAAACTTAAACATTTAAAATTAATAATTATGTATCAATAAAAAATGCTATTAAAAGAAAAAATAGGAGATGGCTATTCAAGCAATCTGCATCTATGTGATTATCAAGGCAAGTAAAGTGTAATAAAAATTTACAAGGAAGATTATCCAATTAAACTCAGAAATAAGGAAATCAAAATATTGAAAAGTTTAGATCATCCTCATATCTTAAAAATGATTGATCATCATCCTGAGAACGACTACATTATTTTTGAATAACTGACGACTGATTTTTTTACAATAGTTAAAAATTAGAATAGATTGGATGTTAGAGCAGTGAAGTAGATCCTTATAGAATTAGGGGAGGCTATCCAATACCTTCACAAATTTAACTATGTACATCGAGATATTAAATTACAAAATCTCATGCTGAACAACCACTTACAAATGATACTAATAGATTTTGGCTTTGCTGATCTTGTAGATGACTAAGAATAGAACATCAGAAGTTGTGGAACATAAAATTATATGTCACCAGAATTACTAATTTCCTAAAAATACATACGATCAAATCTGTTGAAAAGATCTGACATTTTTGCCTTGGCTGTCCTAATATTTATTCTCTATTTTGGATTTCCTCCATTCTCTGAAGCTACTGTAAAATGTCCTTATTGGAGGTTGATCTCTAAAAATAATTGGGTGAAATTTTGGAAAATAGTAAATAGAAATTCTAAATTAAATGACATCATATTTTAAGAATTATTTGAAAATATGATATCACCCAATCTTGAGGATAGATATACTATTGAATAAGTACTGAATCATCCCTGGATTGATGGAAACCACGATTTAGGCTATTTAATAAATATTATTTGAATATATATATAGAGTTTTATTTCATTATTCATAATATCCCTTAAATTTTATTATCTTGAATATTCCTACCACTTCATCTATAAATAAGCTCTAATATAAGTATGTTAAAAATAAATCACAAAATATTGAATCTAAGATAAATTCTATTAAAACACCAACCAACAAATACATATCAAATTTAAATTCCAATCCGTACATTTACCAAATTCCAATTATCATATTCCCAAAAAATAAGATTACCCATAATATCCAATAAAAGCCTAACACTTTGCCTTTTCTTTTCTTTCTAAATGCTAATGCTAAGCCTCCATATAAATAATTGCATATCCAAGTTTATATGATTACTAACAAATAATATGCAGTAAGCATTCCAAATTTGAATGGCAATGATGATAAATATACAGATGTAAATGTCACATACATCTAAATTTAGATTATATAGAGCGATAACTTTTATAAAGAGAATTCTAGAGAAGAGGCTGTAAAAATGGCATTTATAGGATAAACACTCCAAAAATTTCTTGATTTCTTCTTATTTTTGACTTAACTCATTGGATTCTAAACCAAATTATTTCCAGTTTGCACTGTCTCATAGATATCAGAGAATTTCTTTGACTTTTTTTTTTTGATTGGTCTCTTGTATAAAATGCATAGCAAAGTAAGAAAAGATAAAAACAACCCAATTAAAGTCATTGAAATGGCAAAAGCACTATTTTAGACAGTTTTAACAAATTTGAATCCTTATGGTATTTCGAAAATGCTTGACAAACCAGATGAATTGGTAGTTACATTTTTAACTATTTAAACATAAGTACCAAAATCCCCTAAAGTATTTACTTAACAAATTGTGTAATACTTACATTTTAATAACGTGGCCTTAGTATTTTCCCAGATTTATTTATCTTCATTCCATTGTACACAAACATTATTCTCATTAAGATCTGCATAATATTAATCACTTTTTGGAACAACAATAACCATATTCATTCCAGTTACTGGCAATATTTTTCCAGATTTTATTATTTGTATTCTAGAAATAGTTGAATTAATAGTTTAACCAGAAGATCTATGATTTTAATAGTAAAGATGCATTTAGTTGAAAATTAAAGGAGTTTGTGCATCTGATTACAGAATTTTAATTTCTGCAAGGTTCTCCTCTGTCAAATAAATTTATGGACTTAATAATTTTTTATCATTATCACAAGTACCATATGATTTAACAAAATTATATTTAAATGCAGAATATGAGTCATCACTAAATAAATCAAATTTTCCTATCACTTATTTATGAAAAGGTCCTGCAGTATTTTAAATTTCTGAAATCATAATATCTTCAGATTATTTTAATATTGCATTAAATAATGAATTATCCAGATTAGTTAATTTCTGAGCTGCAATGTTTTCCTATTAATATAAGTTTTTAGAGATAGCTCCAATAGCAGTAAAGTATTTTACATCAAAATTTAAGGCGATTTATTTATCAAGAGCTTATTAGAATTATTTAATATTGCTTTCTGTGACTGCATAAGTAGTATCTGATATCAATTGAATTATTTCGACATAGTTTGGATCAAATATAGTTTGGGTATTCAAATAAGTCAGTAATTCAGTTTGTAATTTAATGAAATCAGATGTAGTTGTGAATTAACATCGACTTCCTGATATATTCTAAATACATTTACAAGATATCAATAGACATCTACCATACATATTGCATTATTTATCACTCTGACAGAAAAAGCCTTTGGAATTAAGAGTACCTATAAATGGATAAGGTCCAAGACTTGAGGTAGAAACAAGGATGTTGCCATAAGCCAATGCATCATTCGAATTAGTTGCAGATGTCAATTAAAACCCAGATGTCTCTGATGTGCATTAACCATTATATAGGATTAATGAACTTTGACATTTTGTACAAGTATTCAGGGCAGTACACTGAGTACAAGTAACTGGACACTAAAGACAATTCTATTCCTCTAAATAATAACCATCCTTGCATTATTTGCAAGTATATTGATTGGTTGTTGAAGTATCAGATTATAATTCGCATTTATAACAATTCTATAAATTAATAATAGATCCAGAGCAATCTAAACAATAATAGGTAGGATTTGACGAACCTAATGAATTATCAGTCAATTTCAAGAACCCTGGCAAACAAGTGTTGCATTAAAAACTACTTCCTAAATTAATACAAGTATCACAGTTTTCAAATAAAGAACCACACTTCATACATTATTACGTGCTAGTTAATACATATCCAGCTTCACATTTTTAACATATTATATTATTAGTTGTTCCTGCTGACATTGTGTTTAAACAAGTTTAACAGCCGATATTAAAACCAGAACATAAATAGCAATACTATTTACTATTATCATAATAATAATTATTTGTACAACTTGTACATTTATTTATAATGCATTATTCACAACTTGCATATTTAGCAGAACAAGCAGTACATTTCCCTTAGGGATTAATGAAGTAGCCATCTGAACACTTTGTGCATGTTGAATTTGAACAAGTAACACAATTTGTCATCAAAGCTGTTTAACTTTCGCATTAACCAACACAAGATAAAGCATTAGATCCTTTGACATAACCTGTTTGACATTGAGAACATATTTTCTTAAAGATTTATGAGTCTCCACAAGTACTACAATATTTGATTGGACAGTTTTCACATTTTTTACCAATTAATATGTAATCACTAATGCATTTTAAACATACTGTCAAATCTTAATTAAATAAGAGACAATTCTTATCATCTAATGAACATAATTTATTTTCAGTAGATTAATAACCATCATTGCATTTGCCGCAATATGTCTTTTATGTTTCATCTATATAAAAGGTTGATCCAACTTAACAGTTTAAAATTTCAGGGAAACAAAATGTAGAGTTTGTATGTTTTGCATATCCAGTAATACATGTTGAACATTTATCATCTTAATGTATCTCACATTACTTAATATCTTAGTAGCAAAGAGTTCCATTTACAGATACATGATAATTGTTCTCACATTTATTACATTTTCCAGTTTAAAAATAATATTTGCAATTCTAAATCTCATTAGTGTTGATACAAATCTGAGTTTTATCATCTTAGTTTTTTAATATATATTTATCTTAGCATTTAGAACATAAAGCATCCACTTAAATTGAACAATATAATATTTTCAACCAACATTTTCCATTTGACAACAAATAATTATCAACACATCCTTTACAATCTCTCTATTATTATATTGTTTAATCACAAGTTGCTGCACTTGTACAGATGTCCTTTTCACCAACAATATAATTTCCACAATCTAAACAATTTAAAATTGTCTAAAAACAATACAATCCATTTTCTAATCCATTGTCACATGAACAATAAGAATTCTCGCCGTTCGTAATCCATATTAGAATAAACAATCCAACTATGAACATAAGTATTATTTAAATTTCCTATTTATATATATTTTAATATTAAAAAGTCTTATATATTTGTGTAAAATTCAAATTTTATTTCCTCTCTTGCTACACATTTCATCATAAACTTTAATAAGGCATATTAATTTTTCATTGGAGGTCAAATTAGCATATTTCACAAAAATTATTCTAATTAATGCATTATATTATTAAAATATATTATATAAACAACAATAATTGTAAATCAAATCTTTAGTATATGCTATTGGATATGACTTTTTAGATTCTATAGAGGATTGCCTTCTGCATTTTAATGATGTATTGGATGATTAAATTGAGAATATTTGAATGCTATTTCGCACCCTTTGTAATAGTCACGAACTCCTTTATCATTATTTGGCTTACAAAAGTTACAAATTGAAGGAATTTTCTCGATACCTTAAAAAAGGAAAGATGACAATATATTGCTTATATCATAATATTCTTCTTTTTAAGCACTAAACCATATACAATGAACATTTATAATAGATTATTGAAAATCAACTTCAATAAATTAAAGATTCTTGTCGCTTTCGTATGTGAAATAGACACTTTCATATAACAATTCTATTTTAAAATTAATGGGTTAAAATTAAAATAAGAATTATTGATATTGTTGTTATACATATTTTTTAATCTCTTCTACTGAGCTATTCTTCATATGACTCTGATCTAAAATGTAGGAAGGTAAAAATAATATATTTATTCTCTGAAAATCTTTTTATAAGAATTTGTCCCAATTATAATGATTTAAATACATAAGATATGCATTTAAAACACTTATGCTCCCATTTTTTAATTCTTATTAAGTGATTTTTTAATTATAAAAATATGTTTAGTTCTTATCCATCTAAATATTAGAAAAGTATATTAATTCTTTAGATTGACCTTAAGGTCGATATTCCTCATCAGAATATATATCGGAAATAGTAATTCTATTATCCTTCTCATGATATTTACAACATTTCCAATTATTATTTTTATCAATTTAAAATTTATATACTAATTGCTCACTTTCGTCTTTTTAATATGATATATTATCCTTGATCAACTTCATGTATCCATAATTAGAACTTTAACTTTTTTCTAAAGGAATGATTTATTCGTATAAATTTAAGCTGAATTTCCTATAAGAAATCCCATCATTTTGTTTATTCTCTATAAATTTAAAAAAGCTGTATAACTTCAAGCTCAATATTACAATAAATATGCCTATTAAGATTAGGAGCACTACCAATGCAATTTATTTATTTTCCATTTATAAATAATGAATATTTCAATTGGAAAGCATTTCTGAATCAATAAAAAAAATATTCTATTTAAAATTCTCACTTATATTTCAATTTTTTATTTGAAAAATGAAGAAATATGTCAAATCTCATGAATAGAAAAGTCAGGTAACAAAATTTTTTTCAATATTCAAAAACATATTTATGATTTAATGCAAAAAAATATTTTAATATTAGCAAGTTATCAGAGTTTAACTCTGATTACTTCTGATTATTAAAATTATTTTATAATAGAACAATTATTATTTTAGAGAAAGCATGTTTGTCGAAAGTACAATTCACAAAGTAGATGCAGAAATGGAAGATTTATCAGTTATAATTAAATAAAAAATTTTAAATGAAATCGAGGAGGCTTCAAAAGTTTATGAAATATCAAAAATTGACTCTGATTTAAGAACTACATTGAAGTAATAAGAATACTTATGCAGATTAAGTGAAAACCTAGAAATATCTATGTAATCATTTATTCATAATTTTACTAGATTATTCAATTATGATTATCCAAAAAGCAATCCTAAGTATTTTGTTTAGCAAAAATTTGAAAAAACCCCTTCAATTAATGAAGACACTTGGCAGATTAATATATAAAATGAAAATACTGTATTGAATACTCTTTATGCAATTATTATTGAATTGTCACAGAACCCACTATGTCCTGACTTATAGATTTAGCAATAAATACATGAATCAACTTAAGAATTTCCTACATCTATGGCCTAAATTTTGGATAGTTAGGAAATGAGTATTTTGAATAAAATATCAGATGAACATCATATGTATGGAAATCCATTATAAAATCTATTTGAAATAATGGAACAAAAGGCAAAGACAAATTTATCCTTATATAGTAATAATTTGATATAAAAAATATCTAGCAAAAGTTCAATAAATCTAGAGTGAAACTGAGGAACTCAAGAAGGATTTGAATATTATTTATAATAAATTTCAACAAGTCCAATAGGAAGCAAGAATATTAAATGCTTAATGTAATACTTTTCTGAATGTATATTGAAAACTATTCATTTTTAGAATTTTTCTTAATAAGAATTTAGAAGAATTTTGTCTGATAAATTGAGCAAATTGGATTTAATCAAGGAATAATTCTAGGAGTTACCAATGAAGGATACATTTGATGAAAAAGAGAAACTTTATAACCAATTTTTAAATAATAGAATAGAATTTCATAAATGTAATTCTACGCTAATAATTTTGAAATAAAATATTAATGAATAGTCAAATATAATTTGATTTTCCTTTAAAATAATTCCAATTTATGTTAAATCTATACATATAAATTAAAAAATGATATAAAATAATGAAAATATATATTAATTTATGTTATACATTCATTATTATATTGATTATTGATTTTTCTCATATCTAATTAATACCTTTCCTTCACTCATGTTTTTCTTATAATACTCTAAGCCCTCCTTAAATTCAGAAACATCAACTGTTTTAGCCACAATAGTTTTAAGATTAGTTTTTAGTAATCCTTTTAATTATTTCAACAATAAGGCCTAACTAATAATGTTTTTTGTTTTTAGATATGATGTTAACCAAAACCCAACTACTTTTTTGTCTTTGAAAATCAGATCCATAATGGAGACATTTCCAACAGGTTTCAAACTCAATCCTCCATAGACATAACAAGTTGAATGGTTGGGCATTGCTTCAAGAATCTAACCAGTTAATTCTCCTCCCAAGGCATCAAAGAAGACAGTTGCTCTAATTTCATAATGTAGAATGAATACCTTAAAGTCTAAGTAACATTTTTTAACTTTTCTATGAAATCAGCATCTGATTAATTTAATATGATATCTGCTCCTTCTTTTTTTAACATGTCTACTTAAGCATCTCTTCTGATGATATTAATAACTCTAACACCATTAGCTTGAAAGTGTCTGATCATCATTCTTCCTAATTAAGAAGCAGCTGCTGTGTGAACAACAGCTTGAGTCTTATGTTCTTTTGCTACTTCTAACATTGAAATCACAGTCAAAGGATTAACAAATGAGCAACAGGCCTCTTATAATGTGATATCATTATCTAATTCTAAGCAACCCAAAGCATCTGCCACACTATATTCACCGTATGTTCCGAATTAAGATTGTGAATAGAAAGCCACTCTTTTTCCTACTAATCTCCATCCCATAATACCTCCACTAAATTATTGCATTCAATTATACCCATTAGCAATAACAGTGCCAGAACCTTCGAATCCAGGAACACATGGAAATTATTTACCACTTGAATAAGCCCCATGCAAAAAGGCTATGTCTGAAGGATTGATTGGAGCAGAGTCTACCTTGATCAAAACTTAGCCTGATTAAGGTGTGGGAATTGGGATTTCCTTGACCACAGCTTCTTAACCTGGGCCTTCCAAAACAACTGCACGCATCTGAGTTTACATATTGATATTAAAATATATATGGATTTTTAAACATAATTATTCCTCTTATATAATTTCTAAAATTCTTATTTCTGAGAAATATAATTATAATTAATACCCTATTTAGATTGAGATTTCATCATATTATCAATATATATATATAAGAATAAAATAATTTCATACAGGTTTGTAATGTTTTAATATAGTGTGTATATTGGATTAGTATGTTTTTTGTGTGATTTGGATTATTGTTTTTTGTATAAATATAATATATAATTTATGGAATTATGATAAATATTATTTTATTTTTATTTTTTAT